CGAAAAAAACCCATAATCAACTTGTCTGTTTGTCCCAAGATATACGAATGTACATTAACAGGAATTAAAATTTCTATTAACAGTAACAGTTGTAAAAAAAATATAAGGAAAATTCATCTTCTCTCAAAAAGCTGTTGTAATATAAAGTATCTTGTCCACCTCTATTGTTGAAAATCATCATTTTAGTTTTAAAAGTGGACGTCGGTTGTGATTTGGTGGACAGAGGGGATCTTTGTGGTGAGTTTTTATTCAGTAAGACGGATCACTCTCTTGGAGTTTGGAGGCCGATGTGAAGTAACGGGCAGCAGCTGGCATGGCCCGGGCCCTCCATTTTTCGCGAAGCCTTTAGGGAGAGACATGGCACGCGCCAAGAGCTTTCATGTCATAAATATCCTCCCTGAGTGCTTCAGTGCTGTATAATTACACATCCTTCATCTCTCCCTTTACTCTTTCTTACTCACTGTAATACTACTGCCTATTGTCAGCTGTGTGTGTGTGTGTGTGTGTGTGTGTGTCTGTCTGCATTTGAGTGTGTGTATGTGTTTATATATGCATACCAGGTTATGTAATTAGGCGGTTTTAAAAAACGAATATCATTGTGTCCTCACTAACGCAGCTCAGTGGGGTGAGTTGGTTGTTCTGTGTGAGTAACATTGGCTGCTTGTGCTCAACTTTAAACTTTAAACTGTTACTCCACTTAGTCAGCCTCATAAAGATATTTTCCATTTACTGTGATATAGCCATAATGAGTCACACAGGCTGGTAAACAATTCGGTTAACCTCCATCATCTGTGAAAACCCAATTAATTTTGTCATGCTTTTTTTTGGTGTTTGCTTGTGCTTTTCACATTGCGCTGACTAATCACAACTCTTCACCTGACAGCCAAACAAAAGGCAGTACAGTCGCGCGTGTTTTTCATACAGCAACCTGCCACTGGCACTACAGTACGTATGCAGCATAGATTCTTTTTAACAAGTCACTCCGGAGCCTGAAAACATAAGGGATGAAACCTTTTTACGTGTTACAGGTGTATATTTGTGTTTGTGTTGTCAAAAATATTGAAGTATCGATAGATGTCGATTTTGAATATTTGGAACAACAAGTTGAACCAAACACTGCTATTTACCTTTCAATAAAAATCTAAAATGTTATGCCCTTAATCGCTCCCTGTGGTATCGAAAATGACACTGAATATCATTGTTTTTCAAGGTAATGAAGTTAGAAGTTCCAGTATCATGACAACATTTGTATGTGATTCTGCTGTTCAACAGATCATTGCTACTTCGTATGATTCTCAGTTGATCCCTGTAGGGATTGTTTCTGCTCAGCATCTCACCCTGCTGCCTCTGTCAGCCGACAAAACTTATATAAACACATATTCCTCGGGCCAGTACTTATATCATGGAATTTTGCAGACTTGTGAAACAAAGACTATTGTTCTAATCTGCCAGAATAAGCAATCTGAATTACTATCAACTGTGTTAGGGAAAATTAATCCTTCAAGCACTAATGACGTAAACACTGTGCCAGCCAAACCAGTGGCCCTTCTCTGCCAAGCCAGGACACAACTTGGAGAGCCGGGAAGTTCCCGTGTGCGGCGCAGTTGTTGATTGTTTTGGTTATTGCTAAACGTCTTCAGACGAGTGTATTCTGGATGGGTTCCCCATTAAGGGCTTGTGTAACTCAACATTCTGCGGCCCATTAAGTAACGCAAAGACATGGCGGCACGCTGCTGTGTTAAAGAGCCCCTTGGTGCTAATGGCGTAATGGCAGTGCTGAGGTAGTAATGTAAGAGATACAACAAATAAACAGCCGTGTTGTAGGAGAGACTAAGAGGAAGGAGGGAAGAGGTGAGATGAGCGAGAGAGAGAGGCAGTCCACGCCAATGATGAAGAACAACAAGCAATCCAGCTAAAACAAGCAGGCCTGATTTTATTTCATTAAAGACTGAAATCCCCCAAGCTAACCACATTTTTATGGGTGTTTGAGAGCAATAATAAGCTGTTGCTGCGTCGTTGTGTGCATGTGTGTAAGAGAGAGAGAGAGTGAAGGCGCACATAAGCTTTTCCATTCATTCTCGCACAAACAGACGCCTACATTTGTGTCGTACAACTTGCAACCTGACGTGGCAGCTACATTTTCTTGTGGCTTGATTTATCTGACTACAAAAAAACAGTTTGATGTTGAGCACAACACAATGCAATGCAGGGCGCTACATAAAGGTGTCTCTGCACTCTTAATTGCATCCATTTTGATAATAACTCCAACCATGACTGCATCTTTTGGCATCATCAGTTACTCCTTTGAACTTAGAACTGCTGCTTCACTGCCGTGATTGGCATGATAGTTTGAAAATAATTAACAATTGGGCATTTACATGAATGCATTTTTGCATTTTTTTCTTAGTATGTGTTCTTACATGCATGTTGCAGGGAAGTATCTTCACATATCTGAACCATGACACTACCCATATCTTCCTCCTGAGGCTGGAGGTGAACTTCCTAGTCCCCTCAGAGTCTGCAGGGTCCCCCTCTCTCTCTCTCTCTCTCTCTCTCTCTCTCTCTGTCAGAACAGCACATCCATTGTTTGGGGAGGGGGGGGGGGTGCTCTGCCTTTACATAAGGTCAGACGGGCTACAGGTAGCAGAAAAGACAAGATTAATCACTTCATCTGGGACAGGGGGGGGGGGTAGGGGGGCGATAGACCGAGAGATGAGGGAAATAGGTGGGGCAGCGAGAGAATTAGAGGGAAGAAAGGGGTAATTGAGAGAGGAGAGGAAGAGAAAAAGTGACAGGGAGGAAGTTGTGGATGAAAAAAGGGAAAGAGGGACAGGTAGAGACGAGAGGAAGTAATTACCTGCATAAGTGTCTTTGTCGAGCTCACCGATGCATTCAGCGGGAGGCAGGGCATGGAAAGAGAGAGGTGGTCATGGGTAATTACCTAACCGCAGGTTCGCTCACCTTTGATCCTCTCGCTATGACTCTGTGTCTCAGGCGAGAGCCTCCTACTTAGCTGCGTGATGCATCATCATTAACAGCATCATCATCACCACTGCGAAAGGGCTCATGCCAAAATACAACCCATCCTGAGTTAGATAGCACTGAAATACATTCCGTCCCTTATAATATATGATTTTAACATCATTCATGGATTTTCAATCTGTATTTCTACTCTATTTTCAAAATGACTTTCTTCTTTTGCTATGGTAATTATTAGTTATACGTGACCAGCTCCCCAAACAAACAGACTCCATGCTGAGAGCAGGTGGTCACAGATGTGGGCAGAGTTGAGGGCACTCTTGCAGATGTTGCTCTGACTAATCAAACCATCAAAGCGAGTGTGTCATACGAGAGTGCCAGTATGCATGTTTTTATCGAGAATGCCCATGCTCAAATATGTTGTTGTACTTGTGTGTGTGTGTGTGTGTGTGTGTGTGTTGACATGCACAACTGAGTTTCATGTATAGTACCACGTGCATATATGGAGGCTGTGTTGTGTATGAGAGTACCGAAGTGTGTCTGTGCATCTTTTACCCCGTGCTTTTACACTTCAAAGAGAAAGTTTGTTCTTGTGTTCACAATTATGTGTGTGTGTGTGTGTGTGTGTGTGAGTCAGTGGCCAGCTGCATTGCACAGGGCCTACCTGTGGGTGTAGTTGGCCCAAATCCACCTTCTTAAGTCCGTTCACTTCCAAACCGCTCAATGGCATCCTCAGATCTTTCCCCAAAATCTGTTGACCTTTAGTTTTTTTCTTTTTTTTCTTTTTTAGCGAGGATCATGTCAAGCAACACTTTTATGTCTGTAGTGTGCAGCAAGGTGTGTGTAAGCCTGTGTAAGCCTTTTCATTTTCAAGTGCTGCCGAGTCTAGTGTACTGTCATGAGCACAGACGTATTCAACGCCCACACATTATTTTGTACAAACCTGCGTGTTTTCATCGGCAATACACACTCAGACGCAGACACACTGGATCATCACATTCTGTGACACACATGCATATTCGAGAACGGGCTCAAACTTGCCCCACATTCACTCAGCGGGTCTTGTAAGTCTTTGATATGCCTGACCCTCTTATTTTTCTACATTTCTCTATTGGACACGTGGTATGCAACTGATTAGATAAATATAGCCTGAAGGTGCGAGACAAGCAGAGAGGAAGGATACAGAGTTTTCTCTTGTCCCAACACATCTCAGCGGTGGAACTTTAATCTAGTGAGGCTTCATGCATTTAAACGGCCCGATTAGGAACAGTCTAACAGGCGCTTTTCCTGCAGGGCTGAAACAGAAATTATGTGCTTAGGCACAGCCAACATTTTGTTTGTTTTCTCAGCGCCTCTTTCAAAAGATGCACACGGAGATACGGGCTTTGATAATGAAACAACACAGAGTCATGTTCAAGCCTATGTTCGGTACTAATATAATGTAAAGACGCAGAGAAAGTGGGTGAAGCGTTGCAATGTTGTTTGATCTGATGATAATAATGTCTGGTGTTTGGGGCTTACATTGAAAGTACTATTAATGCCATTGTCAAAAACATTTACTTATTTAATTCATGCTTTAACTGTGGTTGATTTGTTGTAATAAACCGCATATGATCTTATTGGCAATACGTCTGTTCGTTATGACGGTTTTAACTGAAAGTAGTGGGTGTTAGTTTGGATGTGGACGATGATGAAAAAATCAGTTGTGCACACATTCAGGTGGGTGCGTTTAGTGCAAGTGTGCGTGTGTGTTTGTGTTGGGGTCATCCAGAGTTCTCAGGCTTGTCTCTCTGGCTATGCTACCGGTTGATAGAGTCAATACAGTGGTGATGGCTGCCCTGCCTTTCCCAGCATGCCGCTCTCCCTCGGTACAAACTTCTGTGTGTGTGAGTCAACAATTCAGAAGATCTCTGGGGTAAATTACCGTAATAGCATGTATGTTGGAAATAACCATGTTCTCCCTCCTTCTTTCCTTTCCTTGTCCCTTCTCCTTCCTCCCTCTCTGTCTGTTTCTCCTCCAGTGACATATTTGATGCCATGTTCCCAGTCACCCACATTGCGGGGGAAACAGTCATCCAGCAAGGTATGTGCAACTGTTTTGTTTAAGTGAATTTATGGCATCAATCTGTGCAGTAAATCACAATTTGAGTTCCAGTAATTAATAATCCTAAAATATCTGGAATGTTACTAGTGTTAGAAGTTTCTGTGTTTCCATTTCTGTCCATTTGCTCCAATTCTTTATTTTGCTGTTGGTGACTAAATCAAATTTGTGCCAAAGCGCCAACAACTCACTTGTCTTGCCTCATTTGATTTAACCTCCTACCTGTTTGCGCCTCTCCTCCCACTTGTGTGTAATGCGCTGGCCACCAAAATACCATGCAGTCAGAGCTTTGCCTGCCTTGGCCGTTGTGTTGCCATAAAAATAGGGCCCTCTTCCTTCCCTTTCCCTCTCTTTGCCCCACTCATACCATCAGTCTGCACCAGATGTCAGGTCCCTCTTTTCCCGCCTCACCACAGTCATCAAAGCCTTCACTCTAGACATCCCTGGACTTTGAGGGAACACAGAGCTTAGCAGGGCCAGACTGTATTTTTCCAGTAAGCCTCACGCCAAACCCCTATCACATACAGACATAGACATGTTTAATCACATATTTAAAACGCACATTCTCAGAGAGAAATGCCTACTTTCAGATAATGCTGTGTTCACACATGCATAAAATCCCATAGCCTAAACTTGTGGAGCATACCATACAAACACACACACTCTCTTAGACATTAAGTGAAGTCAAAGTATCGGCTGTTTGGACACACACTCGCTTTGTCACTCCCACCCACTCCAAGACAGCATCCAGAGGTATATCAGTCCTAATTTGGTGATAATAAAGTCTAGCTAACTGTGTAGGGCCCCCGGTCCCAGACAGCCCATTGTTATACACACTATAGAGTATGGTATACAGTATATAGGGCGTTGATGTCATTGCTAATGTCTGGACCACTGTACAGCTTAAAAAAAACACCCCACATTATTCAGACACAGCTCGGAGTTATCGACCCTGTGGCTCGAGTGGTATTTAAACAAAGGGAGAATCATCATTGTAATCTATTTAATGTGCTGTATCAACTTCATTTCATCTGCTGTTTCTGACATTTATCAAATTTTTCAGTTATCAGCGATTGGTTCTCTGGTTCAAAGGAAGATTTTATGCGTGATTCCAAATTTGAAATAACAATTTTCAACATGAACTCTGTTTTGAAAGATGGACATGTCTGACTTAATGGTGCATCATGCAGCATTGTGGGTAAGAAACGCCTCAGAGGCTGAGGATGCAACCCATGTTTTCCTTTTGAGCAAAGTCAAAGAACCTTAACAGTGTTAACGCCAATTAGCTTGTGTTTAAACGAGGCCACACTGAGTACGCCTTCTCGCCTGTGTGTGTGTGTGTGTGTGTGTGTGTGTGTGTGTGCACGTTCTGGTCAAATATTTGCCTGCACTCTCAAGCATAGGGGGATTGAAAGGGCACAAAACAAAGACTCCACCAAAAGTGTGTCTGCATGTGAGTGTGTGTGTATGTGCTTCAATGTGATAAAAGACAGGAAGAGTAGAAGAAAGGAAAGACAGAGCGAGAGGGAAGTGAAAGAGAGATAGTTGAGATGAAAGAGAGAGAGATAGAAGAGGGCCAGGTTGCAGCAGGTTGTATGTATGTGTGTGTGTGTGTGTCTGAGGTCTCCACTGGGACAGACCATCAGACAGACAAGGAGCGTTTTGTGTGGCACATAGAGCTGTATGATTAACGAGCACTCTCCACTCAGTATTAATTAGCCGTGTGAACTCCTGTGAACTTTACACACAGGGTGCTCTCAGCCTTTCAACTCTTCAGGTGAACATACACACAAGAACACACATGCACACACACACCCTCACGAAATCCATACACGTATATACTTGTGTCATGTAAACTTGTGCATCATCACCCAATTGTACCTCTGAATGGAGTTGCATTTGTGTGTCATTGCAAGAGTGAGCTGCAGGGAGAGCTTCACAGTGCTCTCGCCTGTGGCTGTCAGTCCCTTTCCATAATTCCCCCTGAGCCCCATGTAACGGACACCATAATTAAAGGAACGCTTCACCATTTTTCAGCCTTATCTCCAGACTAGATGCTTTTAGTGGACATCAACCGGCCAGATCCCATGGCTCTCTTCAAGGGTTAGCTTTGAAGGCACAGCATGCCCCCGTCAATGACACAACAGGGAACCAGTCAGCAAACCAGACAACATTTTGCGTTGCCAGTCATGCACATTTGATAGCGATTAGTTGCGGCGGACCAAGACAGTGAGAGATGAAGGAAACACAACACAACAAACAAATCTAACTGTAGAGCTGTAGCCACTGTGGATGCATGTTTTGTCTTTTTGACAAGCAACTACGACAACTTTTCTGCTGGTACCTTTAAAGGAATAGCTTTACATTTTGGGAGTGAAACTCTGAACTATTCCTTTAACATTTTTTACAAAAGAAATACATCTCACAGGATTACTAAGCAATGTCTGTACTATACTATGAGTCTCTGTGCTTTGCATTGCATTGAGGTGTTGTCACTCTGCATGCTCAGGCTTTTAAGCTACACAAGCAGCAGTAATAAGCACTGTGTGCTTGCTGGCGAGAGCCCTATTTTACAAAGATAATGCCAGGCCCAGTGAAATGTGCATTCTGGAGGAGGCAGCATCATCTCTGACACTTTCTGTCTGCCCAGAAGCTTTCAGAGGGCCTCCACTTTTAAAGACCTCAAGAAAAAAGAGTGAGACAAGAAATCCAACAGTGATTTTATTAAGAACAAGGGATGGAAGTTGACAGATATGAGGAGGAGTGTGTGTGAAAATGTGTGTTTAGACGTTTCTGGATTCTTTTTGTTCCCCAGCTCACAGAAAGTGGTATATCAAGTGTTTGACAAATGATTTTAATCTCTTAATGCACCTCTTTAGGTTTAATGGTTTAAAAGTTCTCCTTTGAAACCTTAAGCAGGAAGTAATAAATAAGTGTAAGCTCCTGGTACCTTTCCTGCTTTTTGTCCTGCTCTTTCACAAACCCCTGTGTTTCTCCTTGTCTCTCCCCTCCAGGCGATGAAGGAGACAACTTCTATGTGATTGACCAAGGTGAAGTGGACGTAAGTGGTTGACATGGAGAAGCACACACACTAAAAAACGAATTTCTCTTCAGAGTAACTTCTTTCATTTTTAGTCAAATTGACTAAAACAAATAATAAAGGGAACTCTAGTGTGCAGTGTGCCAATATTTTTTATATATATATTTGTTCACCTGTTTTTAAGGCCAGGCCATACGAAGGGTTTTGACTCAGTGGGAAAACCCAGCCTTCTCCACTCATGTTGACACAGTGTTTCCCTCTAACAATAGACAGGTTGTATTGGGTTGCCCACATGTTTTGTTCTCTTCAAAGTTCGGTTCCACTCTGATGGCAATCTGAACACGGCGCTACAGAGTCCAGCGCACTGTGAAGAGAGCCAAACTGCGAGCGTCTTTTGTCTTAGCGAGCCAGACGCAGAGCGATAGAGTTAAGTGCAGAGATAAAACAGGAGCTGACGGAAAGTTAAACAGGAAGTGACCTTATCCGCTTACAGCGGTGATCACAGACACGGCGGGTGAGAGGAGAGAAGCAGGCTGGCAAGCTCGGCCGAGCGTGCCTCATCGGCCCACCTGAGAGACGGAGAGAAGGGACTGTATAAATACTGAGATGGTGCCTTGATAGAGAGACTGCGTAGCAGATAACTCTGGACAAACGCTGCTGCTTTGACTTCCATTGCTTTGGGTGATGTCTCGTCAAATGCGATTAGATAAGTTACAAGTGAAAACAGTATTGGTTGTTTTCTACAGAAGGATAGCTTGTGTGCACATCCATTGCTAGTAAAAGATGAGGCACAAGATAAGTGAATGAAGAAGCTGAGAATATCTGCACACTGGATGATATCTCCTCAACTTTATTAGACTGAACAAGCCAAGTTTTAACCTTGAAATGCAACTTTGCCTTTTTAGTCTTAACTAGATGATTTGTTCACAAATTGTGCAGATATTCACTTATTTTTCCTTCCATGTTTCTCTTTTATTCAGCTATCTTCAGCGTTTGATCGTCTTGTGTAAGATCCGATATTCAGTTTGTGAGAATCGTACTCTCACAATAGAGACAAGATTATTTTAGTTTTTCGCCACTCATTTTATAATCTGTGGCTTGTCTCTTTGAGTGTGCAGCTGTGTTGAAGCCACTCGGTCTAGTTGGTTGTTGCCGCGTTACCTTTTACCACAAGTTGCTCTGTACAGCTCTCTCTAAGCTGTGTAACTTTAAAACCTTAAATAAGACATATTTATTCATAACATACTGTTTCTTACTGTGTGCAGTGTGTCTGCTGTTATTTTTCCATAAAACTGTCTTCATGTTAGTTTTAATGGATTCACACGTGGTTTGGAGCTCTGTCCGGCAGCTGCAGCGTCACATTGTGTCTTTACTGTTCGGCCTGCTCTGGGCTGGGACTTCAACCTCTTTCTGCCTGCCAACAGTGAATCTTAGGCATCTGCACCCACAGCCAGGATCATATCATTCTGCATCCAAGTCGGGGGAAGACCCCTATCCTTGGCCTCAGCCCCGTGCTCATCCGAGTCTCCTTCACCTCTCCCTACAATCCACCCCTCTATCTCTGCAGACAGCTGCTGCCTCCCAGCCACCATCTCAGGCACTAAACTACTTCAAGCTCAGTGACGAGGTTATTAAAGTGTGGAGATGTCTCTCATTAGAAAGGGGTGTAAATCTGCTGGCATCCAATAAACTGCCTAAAACCACTGCCACTGATGTAAACACCCATCCATGTCTGCACACAACTGTATTCACTTACAGACATTGGCCTGTATTTATATGGCTGCACCACAAAGGAAATTAAAGCTTTCATTTCAAATTGTGAGATGATCTTGTTGGAAAAAAACGCTATTTGTAATTAAATATTGAATATCTGGTAACCCTTAAGTTCCCTGTTTAGCATATAAACAGTATACAAACATTAAATGACCCACTTAATAATTTGTAACACACTATAATGTAGTTGTGAGTCAATATACATGTTTATTAATGTATTTGTAAACAACTATAACTCCTCCTGTGAGCACCCATAACTGCTGACTGGTGTATAAACAGACGATAGATGACAATATTGTAAAGCACAGTGTGTTTTAAACCATTTATTAAATGTTTATATCCTGCAAAAAAAATGCTAGATGGAGGGACTTCCTTAAAAGCAGAATGAGTTGGATTTTCTCCACACAAAAACAAAGTACAGACTCAAACAAAAAGTCTTTGTCTCAATCATCATCACTTATGACCCACTAGAAGTGCGTGGCGGTGTCTGTGTCTGTATCTGCAGAGACTCTACCGTCTGCCTGGATTTCTTATTGTGCTGTGTTCGGGACGTTTCTCTGCGTCAACCTCTATAAAAACGTTGCGACCAGGTGCCAAAGCATAAGCATGCATCCAAGTGGAAGCTAATTAAATGGTGGACACAGCACCGAATCTCTTCCCCCCCCAAACCGAGACTGAATCTGGGGTTGGCTTTCACCCGCTGGCGAGCACACACCACAATCAGGGGGTGTGCACTTCTGGTGTCTGGGGAGGAGGCCAAGTTTGAATCTTGTTTTTACAAACTGCCACCGACAGTTGCACACTTTAAAGTGCCTTTTAATCACAGATAACTTTATCATTTTGTGAGCAAAAGTCTTACAATACCTTTACTGTAATACAAGCAATTATGCTTATGTAATTTCTTCTTCTTCTTATTGTTATTATTATTGTTGTTATGATTCTTGTGATTTATATGATTATTATTATTACAGTAGATATGGCATTTGGGAATGCATCTAAATAATTGCTGCCCAATACACAACAAAGAGAGACAGAACCTCTCGCTCACACACTTTTGCACAGAGCAACACACTGCATGTAACAGCCTACTCCTCCACCTTCCAGGACTTTTGATTTATTGCTTTTTAATTACCACCAGCCACACACAGTTTGCTGTAGATATTCGCAGTGTGAAAATTCAGTGACAGCTGTGAGACAGCATACACGGTTGGAGACTGAATTGTTTCATTATGAACTCCATTTTACCTCGTGCACAGTGCTGACTCGATACAGTGCAAGTGTTTCCTATTGCGGTCCTTATTGCAGAAACCTTTTCTGCTCCAGCTTCACTTTCCTGATCCAGTTAGGACATAATGCTGATTGTTTGATTGTTCGTCCTGACCTGGAGTTGCATGAAAGTGTGTGTGGGACGTTATGGGATCAGATTCACAACAATGAATGCCGAACAAAGACTTGCAGGTCAGGAGACACTTGAGGACTAGAACAGGAATAAATACTATTACCTGTACTGTATGCTCTGATGTAACACTTTTGCAACACTCACATGATTGTTCTTCCATAGCTAGCACTCTGCGTCTCTTTGGAGCCATCCCAGTTGATAGTGAAGGATGAGTCTCTTGTGGTCTTCTCTGAGCCTCGGATAATGGCTTGCAACAATTCTGGCAATTCACTGCCCCCGGAGGGATAAACCCTCTCTCCCTTCCTCTCCTTTTTCTCTGTGTTATTAAGTCAACAAGATAGTGGATAGTGTGTCGACAGGTGAAACCGTAACGGCCCCAGAGACAGCCTGAATGAGTCTCAATGAGCTTGTATTGTATGTCGAGCTATAGTGGCTGGCCTCAATAGAGCTGTGCATGTGTGTGCGTGTGCATGTGTAGGAGAACAAGCATTCAAGTGCTAATACGGACCAAGAAAGTCTACCACGGCTTTCTGTCCTCTATCGCTCACAAATCAAAGGCAAGGGCCGAACAAGACAGGACGGATGAAATAAAAGGGATAAATGGAGAGATAGGAGGGATAGAGGGCTTTTTAGAGGGTCTCATTTGGGGGCTTAGTGGGGATCAAACACTTAGGGACAAGCCTAGTCTGCATATCAAACTGCTAAGGAACTGAGGAGAGGCAGAGGGGGAGGAGAAAGTTTGAGGAAAGTGTCTCAGGATGGGTAGAGAAGTTGAAATGACAAAAATAAGGAAATTCTTCACAGTCTACCCAGCAGTGATTGACAAACTTCAGAACCATTTAAGCTTGTACAACACCCTCTCCATCACTCTGTTTCTTGTCCTTTCTGCAGGTGTATGTGAACGGGGAGTGGGTGACCAGTATTGGAGAAGGAGGTAGTTTTGGAGAGCTGGCCCTGATCTACGGGACTCCCAGAGCTGCAACCGTCAAGGCCAAGACTGATCTTAAACTGTGGGGCATCGACCGAGACAGCTACCGACGCATTCTCATGGTACAGACTTCAACACACATGCTGTAGCCTAGGATAATTTTCTGTTGCAGCCTGGTTGGGTAGCCATTGTTTTAAATGTATTATTATTGTAGACAAACAGAAGTTATGTTTACATTCAGTGTTACTCACCAAAATGCATTTTGTGTATCCTTGAGGTCCAACAAACACGTTGTATATATTCCTTTCCTCATAAAACTTTTGCAAAGCTGATTTTTTTAAAACATATTTTTAATGCTTCATTGTTTACATACATGTTAACCAGCTTGCAATCTTCTTCTTACCTGACTTTGCTGGTGCATTACAGCTCATCTTGGTTGTTACCTCCACCTGTAGATCTCTGAAATAGTCTAAAACCATTGGCAGGAATTTGCATCGCGTCACCTGCGCATTAACAAGATAAACAGCACGAGGACCCACGATAGAAAAACTGCTGACAAACAAAAAGTTCTGGTTAGGACCCTTCGTCTTACATTTCTGAAGTAGGAGTACACATGATGACAGACCTCAAATGCACTTTGACACAATACAGAAACACTAAGTGTGACGTACACACAATAATATAGTATGGTAGTAGACGCTCAACGCTCCAATCATTTGTGATTCCTCACTTGTAATATTTTCTCCCACTCAACCACTTAAGACTCCTTAAATACTTAAAACAGTGGCATTCATTTTTATCCTCAAAATACACACTCGCACATGCATTCCTCCGCTTTTAATGTCTCTCTAGATCTGTCGGTAGGTGAAGAATGGGGGAAAAGGGAGGGCTGTGGAGGAGAGACAGGGTCAACCCTAATGCCTCGACACACACACTTCCAGCTCCAGAAGCTTATCTTTCAGGAATGTCTAAATGTTTAAACTAGAAACACAAGGTGCTCTGCCCATAGCTGTCATACTGATTCACACACACACACACACATTTCGGGTGATAACCTTTCTGTCTTCGTGCCCGACAAAATACTTCCTCAGATGTTCCTCACACTTCACTCCCGAGTAAATGAGATAGCCTCCAATTAACCTTTTCAAACACCCGTGTGCCTCTTTAGCCTTCATCAGCAGTGCACATTCTGCTCTGTGTCAAACAGTTTGAACCCGCAGAGATGGCAGAAGGTCTGTGTTTGGACCTTTCAGCTCTACGTAAAGTTGGCACAGGCCTGCCTTAGCACTCATGTCACCTCTTAAGCACATAGTTTAACTGAGGGCACAGTCTGCCCTGGTAACCTTTCTTCGAGAGGATTCTCTCTCTTTCTCTTTCTCTTTCTCTTTCTCTCTGTCATTCCTTCGTTCCTTCCAGCAGCAGCAGGAGGGGAGACAGGGTGAAGTAGAATTCAATTATGTGAACCTGTAGTTAATTATTGCTGTCAATGATTTGTAAAGCTGTTTTTATACAGTGCGGTATTCTGGCAACGTCTTAAGCCAACACAATGAGCATTCTCTGTGTGTCTAAGTATGTGTGTGTGTGTGTGTTTTTTGTTTCCCAGTAAAATTATGCAGAGTGCTTATGTTTGCAGCTAGTTAGTCAGGAGCTCAGGAAGCTGTAGCTGCAGCTACCATCAGTTTAACTGTTTGCACATTTCTTTCTCTGCTGGATCTCCACATCGTGTAATTAAGAACTTGACTGAACAGTTTTACATTAAGATAAGTAGATAAGTCAGTCAGTTAGATCAAGTAGATTAGTTGATTCTTATTCATTGTATCATCTCAAGGAACTCAAATTTGATCAACTTTTGCTGGTCACATAAAACTTTGTTTAGAGGTTCTTCATGATGAGGATTCAGCTACTTTTTAGGTTTTGTCAACATCAGAGAAGTTCACAAACCATTGTGCCAATTTATCTTGGACTAAGATCCCTTGTAATATAAAACTCCAACAAGTTTGATAATTAATTAATCAAGCAAAAATTGCAAAAGTTCTCTGATTCCAGCTTTCACGTTAAGCACTGTTAGTTGGACAAACAAAGACATTTGAAGAACCTCCTCTCAGAACCTCCGAAGGACATTTTTACAATGATTTGATATTTTATAGACTAATCATTTGATCAGTTAATCGAGATGAATTGATAACGAAAGTCATAGTTAATTCCAGCCCTATTTTAGAGCATGTACATGTTTGCATGTGCCCTTGCATGTCACCTGACAGTGATTTAACCCTGGAACGTAGTTTCAACCCCTGAGGATGCTGATAACAATAGGAACACGTCATTAGGCTTGTGCTGTAAAATGTGAGCCTTGAGCGGCCTTTCAAAACCACCTCACCCTCCACCTCCTCCTCTCCTCCTTATCCAGGAGTGCATTTGGTAAACAATGTAATACCATTCCCTTTGATTAACACACTCTCTCCATTGTGTTGCTGCCAGTCATACAATACCCGCCTTGTTGTGTCATCTTAGTCTTTGAACATGCACAGCGACAGACCAAGTAATTAACAGACTGACAGACCACTGTCAACAAACAGAACACAAGACAAAAGGAGACGAGGGGAAATGATACCAAGAAATGAGGAGGGATGTGGGGGGGGGGGGGGGGTTCTGTGATTTGCATTGGACGGAGATGAAGGTGATGGGGCGTAAGGTACGGTTGGTTTAGTCTGGCTTCGCTCCACACCTCAACTCTTTGATGATTCTACCTCAAAGACAGCGAGCAGACACAGAGGCTGGTTCATCTTTAACCTCGGAAAGAGCGAGCGCATTATGGCCAACAGGAGCGGGGGAGATTTGGACTTGAAACATGTGCTCAGGCCCTCCCAAGTAGACAGTAAGGATAAGGACGGATACAAAAGAATGCAAAGAGAAAAAAAGATGTGCACCGACAAAACAAATTATGTTCAGAAATCAGAATTTTAGAAAAGTATCATTTTCATTCCATCCAACGCGGTCAACCTCTGTGTTGGCCCACCCAGCCCTTCCTACACCAGGCGCATAAATCAGACCTGCTGTGTAATGTAATGTTATGAACGCATGGTGAGCCTTTAAGCTCAGCAAGCCTGTCTGAGGAGCTCTATGGGGAAGCTATGAAATCAGGAGACCAACTGAACATTTTTGAGGAAGGTGCATGTGCTTGTGGGTGCCTGAGAGATTGTGTCGGAGGTAGAGTATACACGTGTGAGTGTTTGTATTTGCTTGCTTAATGAGCATGAAGTTTCGTCTCTGCAGAGACAGCAGCGAAACATAAGTGGCAGAACTTAAAACAGACTGCACGCTCCGCACACACACACACACACACACACACACACACACACACACACACACACACACACACTCGAATCATTTATCCAGGAGGGAGGCGATGCAGCCTAGAATTCCTTTAATCAAGTTGTTTACGATTCTGAGCTTGACGTTGGCTCACTTGGGAACATTTTCTCCCCTTTTAAGACAAAATGTGAAATTATATGAAATTAGAGGCAGCAGCGGGACTCGGGCACTTATGCACTAAAGACACCCCAAGCCTCAATATATCATTTCCATATGCAGAGGCAGACACAGGGCGGACAAGATCGTCTCTCCTCACTCTCTCTCTCTCTCTCTCTCTGTTTCTCTTCATGTTCCCGCTCTCTCAGAGAGGTTCTGTGCAATGAAAGAGGGAAAAAAGGAGAAATGCAGCTAGGGAAGGGGTCCTCTGGGTCTAGACTTGTCAGGAAGCACCTGATGTTCATAGCAGAGGCAGAGAGGGGAAGTCCCCATGCCTTTTGGGCGGGGTGGGCCACACACACACACACACACACACAGACACACACACATCCAATGGTTATTACCACACAAGTGATACACACCTCCATAAGGGTGACCCCATGAACTGCGTCAACACTATCAGTGAAAGAGTACCACATACTGCAGTTTACATTTTCTCCTTATTTTTTATGTAATGTGGCACGACTGATATTAACACACTTTAGTATCGCAGTATTAGGTTTTGTGATGGTGTGTTCTTTATACAAGTGATCCTAATATTAGATTTTTAATGATACGTATCATATCGCTTGATTTTTGACAATTCACAGCCATAATATAAAGTGCTTCTATCGCGCGTGACCAGTGAGTGAGCACCCATGTGAGCAAAAATAAACGTTTAAATGAAAATCTGTGAGTTCAAGTGACAAAGATAGAAAGAGATAAATATAATGTCGAGAGAAGTGTAATAAATGGAAATAATTATCTTTCCTGGAAAAATATATTTTCAATTTCAGTTTGAAAAATGATCATTGTCTGTCATTCAATGCTCGATTTTAATTATCTGACAACAAACATGAACAGTTTTTTCAATACTTTTTCCTAATAGCAACTCAAAGCAGTAAGTATTTGTTTAGATTACAACCTAAATCAGTTCCTTCAAGACATAATGATCACAATGTTTTGCGGAATAATCGCAATTATAATTTTCATGACAATTGTGGAGCACTACTGCCATACAATTTCAGAGAGAGTGACTAATGGTGAATGTCTCTCCTTTTTTTGTCTTACAGGGCAGCACACTGAGGAAGAGAAAGATGTATGAAGAATTCCTCAGCAAGGTGTCCATCCTTGGTAAGTCTGTGAATATTTCAGTTTGTGTTTTACTGCAGTAGTGTAGTGTGTAGTGCACAAGTATGTCGTGTTTCACCTTCATCTTAAACACCGGGTCAAAGAGTCCAGAGTGCAGGCAGTTAAATCTGCCGAGTTCAACGTATACTGTAGATTAGCCCACATAAACACAGGCGCACGTTGTCACACAGGGCCTACAGCTGAGTAAGGTCTGTGTGTACAGTCCTAATCTTCTCGCACTGCTCATGCTAAAGCCAGTCACACTCTGCAATGTCGCTACGTGGACAATTAAAGAACGGGGAGTTAAGATAAGCCTCTATTTTCCCACTGGAATTTGGATAACACCAGCCTACACAGGCCGTCTGAGGAATGGCGAATGAGATTCATTCAAACTTTCAAAAAGAGTTGCAATTGGAACTGACATCTCCTCCCTTTCCACTTGATCGTGTGTGTGTGGTGTATAGAGTAAGGCCATGCCCCCTGTACAGAGTTATTAACTGGCTGAGTAAACACATACACTCAATTCAGGTCTTAAGAGAACGTCTCTGCGAGATCCACTCTCTTTTCATTCACCTCCTTTCTTCTGCGCCTCCCTTTTTCGACAGCCTTGTCGAGGCCTGTATTCAAAGGCCCGCCTCCCTCTTCCAAGTGCCTTTCCTCTCTTCATTCCTCTTTCTGTCGCTCCGCTCCTCCGCTCCACCTCTTTGAATTGGAGGAGGGGTAGGAGGCGGCGGTGTTTTTGTTTGTCTTCGATTTTTGAGATAGCCACGAAATTGGGTACAAGCCCTTGATGTCGAGGAGTGAAGGAGGGGTTAAAAACAACACGTTCTTTGTCTCTCATCCCAGTGGCCTATTCCCCGAGTGCATGCTCTGTATGTGGGTAGCGAGGTGATCCAAGTGGGTGCAGGCTCTGCGAAGCATGAAATGTAGGTTCTTTAGTCAGCACATTTGTGTATCACGTTACACGCCGAGCTGTTAAGGATCACTACTATAGGACCTGCTGCCTTTAGCTTGCAGCCAGACGGAGGACATCCATCTGGGGGCCGGCAGACACCACGGCCCCACCGGAGGGGACACTGGACACCTCCATCCGATCGGACTTCACCTAAGTTAATCCTAAGAACATCTACACACACACAAAAAGATACATACTGGGATCAGTTACTGAGCACATCAGGAGACAATAGCCTCAGACAAAGAGATTCGGCTGTAGTTTTACGCCTCTAACTCGTGTCTTAGTCAAATCAAAACACTGAATCATCCTTTTATCTTGACAAAACGAAAGATCATGAGTGTTTTCACTGCAGATAAGTCACATTCCACACAGTAGATGTATAGACTTTTAAGATTAGGCAACAATAATCTTCTGAATTGTGAAATAAGGATGAGCTCATTTGGTGAATCTTCTATGTGGAGGTGTTTAGTTATTATTATAAATATCAATAGTTCAGAGTTGCTCAAAACTCCTCTGGTTGGAACATTTTTCCCAGTGAAGATGTGTGACCGTCTGTGTTTTTGGTTTCTGCGTGAATACCAACAGCTTCTAGAAATATCCCGGGTCTAACCACGTCGCTGTACATGTGGTCGGACAGTTGGAAAGACAGCCGTCGCCGCCGGCTCTCAGGATGAACACAAATTGAAAAAAAGATAGATCCTATAACAGCTTTTCTATCGCAGGACTTGTTCATAAACGGTCAATTCTCATACATTCAAGGACATTTTAGAACTGACTGAAGCCAAGAGAGGAAATCATTTCTATTCCAATGTTTCACTTATTGTCACTTATTGAATCTAATTTGTTTTAATAATATAGATTGGATTTCACTTCAATTGATTTAATCTTAACTGTATTATTATAATCCCGTACAATTATATTTCTAGTTCCATCCCTGAAGTGTAACTAAATCATATTTTACAAGATTAGAGGGGAAATATTTAGTTTGAAAACAGCAACATTAGATCCTCCCAACACCTTCATGTATTCCAGCCATTTAACAAGCATTACTCTCACATTGATCTGCGCTACACTTGATTCATTTATGTGATTACAGTTCATGCTGTAACTACAGCCTGTGCATTATCACTTTTACAAGCACCAAACAGATGCTCTTATCCATCAATGCCAGTTTGAGCGAGCAAGGCACTTGCCCAAGGATACGCGACTGTCTTTGGGATAAAGATTTTAGATCTCTCTGTCACCACACCCCAGAATCAGTAGAGCTGAGATCTTACAGATCAAGGAGTTAGTGTTGAGGTGTTTTTGCTCCATGAGGCTCCATGAGAGGAGTGAGGAGGCAGGGGGTTCTGCGACATAATGGTCCCTGATGAATGACTGGATTAGCTCGAGGTAGGAGTTATCGTTCCCAACAGCTTACTGGACTTGAGCAAGAGACATCCTCTCAGACCTTGGAACACACACAAACACGTAGAGCATCTGTGTATCTACTGTTGCATTCATCAGGCTAAATAGCACATTGTTCTGTTGTTCACAGAGTCTTTGGATAAGTGGGAACGTCTCACTGTGGCTGATGCTCTGGAGCCAGTTCAGTTTGAGGACGGAGAGAAGATAGTGGTGCAAGGAGATCCTGGGGATGACTTCTTCATTATTACAGAGGTAAGATCTGTGCGTGTGTGTGTGTGTGTGTGTGTGTTTGTGAGAATCTTTGTGCTGTTTTACTGTTTTGACAAGTCTTTTAGAAGATGTAGTCGTAGTGCTAGTGAGACAGGATGTGTTGTAACTTTCTTTTACTGTCACATTTCCTGCAAGCTGTGCGTGTTGACATGTGGGGCCCAATACCGCGTATGTGTCATCAGGTGGGCACCCGGGTTGATGTACATGTCATTATTCAGAGATGTTGGTGGGCTCTTTGCTGAGGTTGGAACTGATCCCAGCAGCCACCAGCAGACAGACTACCTGGTGGTGTTCCCCGGCCCTGTGTGAAGAACGTCCCCCCCCCCTCCTCACACTGCAGGCTTTGTGGAGCTGGGGCCCCTGGCGCAGCTTTCGTGAAGGGTCCCCTGCCTGTCATCCCAACACACTTTTGATTAACTCCATACTTACACAGCTTTCACCAGGGACAAGTCAAGAGGGCCCTGTCTAGAAGGGTGGGGGCTTGTCTTTGCCTCCTACTCCCCAATCTCGTTCTTCGAACGAGAAGGTTAGTCTCTCAGTCAGTTGCTCTGTCTATCTAATGTCCAACAATGTTCAGAGTGAGCAGTGCATTGGTTACAGTGCATGGGAGAGTGGTTAGATGCAGTAAAGCAGGAGGAGGATTTTATCAAAGGTGCTGAGTGATGTATTGCTTTTTATCCTTCCTTTGGAAGCCTCTGTACTATGCCTCTCTTCAAAGTTATATTGGAGTCTGTAAGTATTTGAACAGTGATACATTTCTGTTTTTTTGGCATGTATCCAGCACATTACATTTGAAATGCAACATTCACTATGATGGTAAAGTTCTGACTTTCAGCTCTCGAGTTGTGATGGTGGTCATGCTGGGTGAATTGTGTTGCACTTGTGGGTCTTTTTATACATTACCGCCAGTGAATCCAACTTGTGTTTTACTTGACAATGTCACTTCTGCAGAATAGCATCCATTGTGGCCACAAGGGGCATTAATGGGAAAATGTTAAAACAAAGTATAACGTTAGTACAAGAAGAGTCAGAAATCCAGTGAAAGTGAGTTAATCAGAAACATCTGTCTAGTTTTGCTAACGTTAGCCACCATAAGATACTGGTCATACCAGACCATAGACCGTAAATAAGAAGTGGACGTAGTCGTCGTGATGTCACCCACTGGTTTATGGACTGTTGTTTTGAAGCCTCTAGTCCGGCATTTCGGCCGTCGCCATCTTGTTTTTTTGCAACCAGTGAGCGTAAGTTACCATATTTGGACTTTGGAGGAGTATTTTAGAGACACCATATACGGACCTGTCAATCACAAGGTAGTCCACCCTAAAGCATACCCTGCTTTATGGTCTATTTTATTCTTAACGGGACCATATTTAAAAACATTAACATCATGCTGTTTTGAAGAAGACATGAAACTAGTGATTGAGACCATAAACTCATGCTTACAATGTTTACTGAGGTAATAAATCAAGTGAGAAGAAGAGTGATTTTCACAAAGACTTCCATACAATCGAACCTATTTATGCAACCAATACTGAGTGTATTGAATTGAGTGTTATTTTTTGTTTTTCATTTTAATATATAAGAAGAAAAATGTTTTAGTTTTTGTTTCAAAAGTAACACAGTTTCGCTTTAAAGCTCATAGAACATTGATTCATATCAAATCTAACAGACTCAAGTACAAAACAGCAACAAATGTGTCCCAGTCCAAACATTTATAGACAGCACTGCATATATCTTGTGTTCACCTCACATTATCCAACCAGTGTTGGTCAAGTTCGAAACCTCCAATTGAAGGCTCATGATGCTGCAGAAATCCTTTAAAAGCCAGTTTGACTATGCTGAAAATGAACCCAATTGGGGTTCAAGAAAACAAATATAGCTTTTACCGTAGCAATGCATAACTCATCAAACTGAGACTTGTACATCTCAGAGAGGAGAAGGACAGAATATGCAGAGGAATCTGGGGGATTATAGGATGGAGAGACAGGCAGCAGGAAGAGGGGAAGGAGGAGACACAGGCATGGAGTCTTCGTAGGCCACCAGCTCAGTCCAGTATGTGAGTGTGTCACAGCACACTCTGAGCCTCACCCAATAGAAGTCTTGTCTCTTTCTTTAATCCCTTTTCCTTCTCTCTTGTCTATCTTCCATTTCCCTCTAAGCTCTCACTCTCAGACCCACCCTTCTTTGCTTTCCCTCCGTCTCTCTCCATCTCTCGTGCAGCACGGCCCCGACTTTCCCAGAGCAGGGTGGACTGTGGTGGAATGTGTGTCGCTGACTTTCACACGGGGTCAGGAGACCCAGCTTCCCGGGAGTGAGACGAGGGAGAGAGAGAGAGAGAAAAAGAGAGAGAGGAAGAGGAAGGATGAGTCAAACAGGGCAGGGAGAGAGAGAGGTTGATTTGAAAAGGACCACATACAAGGCGAGAGAGAAGGATTTTGTCAGCTTTCCTCACTTGCCATCCTGTTCTCCTTTTCTCCCCGTGCACGCCTTTATTTCTATAGATTAAAAAAAGTTGAGTTGTCAGTGCTTAGTTCAGTCAGACACCCTCGTTTTTCTCATTCTGTCTCGTCTCACTCTTTTGTTTTTTCTGCAGTTTTGTAGCATCAGCCCAGGACAAACCCCACAATCACTAATTAAATGCTGCTGATGGGACGGATTAACAAAAGGGAGTTCTAGAGACATCACTTTCTTTGCCAGCCGCGAGGAATGGGGCCCTAATGAAAAGTGAAATGTTTACATTTTTGTGCTCACATTGTACAAACAAGCCTTTACAGAACTCCAGGGCTGTGAAGACTCATCGTCCCTATAGTTCCTCCTTCTTCCCTAGGGCGTCTGCCCCTACTCACCCAACATGCACTCTTTCCTCCTCATGCTCATGCACTCAAGCCTAGCACCCTGTCGTTCATGCTCTCACAAGTGCCAACTAAAATGGTGCATATGGAAAGAGGGAGACAGAACCTTGTTCAGTGTCAGAGATGTCCGTAAGAGTTTTCAAAGATGGTGTTCAAAATAATTTCTTCCTCGAGTAAAAACTCCTTTTCAGACGTCTCTTTACATTAATGTGGTGGCAGTTTGACGTGTTGATCTTTGTAGCCGGTCTCGCTGCTACACCCCAACACAGACACGACAGCCCGTTCACTGAGGCGTTTCTTACAGGCCGGTGTGGCCGTCTGTCCATAATGTGTGGCAGTCATCAGAAGTCCAGCACATTGCTGAGTTTAAAGGAGAAGGTAATTAGTCAACGAGCACCAGCTGTGCCATTCATCTCACCTGGCACTGCTCTTATGAGCTACCTCTCTGAATGCCTACCATGCTCAACCTCCTCAGCCTTATTTCTATATCTGCAAGTCACAAGTCATTGGTGTTGGTCTCAAAGAGAAGAAGAAGAGTGATGAAGTGAAGTCAATCAGACCCATGATTCAAGTCAAATTATATGACTCAAGTTGACTGTTTGCGGCGTCCGAACAATTGAGTACAATCAGGCTGTTCATCCTCGTGACGTCCTCAATCTAAACAGGAACTCAATGTGCTTTGTCATAATTGACGCTGCACAAAAGTAATCACACTGAGGGGATCCAAAGGGTCCCTGTGGGTCACACAGACGAGAAATCCTCTGTGGGTAATCTACAACATATCAGCTGTTACTGTAACCTATGTGTGTATGCGCTGAAGTGCAATTTAGCCAATGTAGCTTAACACTGCTTTTAAAGGCTGAAGATCGATGCAGTTAATGAATGAAGACATTTTTTAGTGCGAGTCACAAGAGCAAAGGTGAAACCATTTTCTGAGTCATTTTTCTCTTTGAAAAGAAGCCGTGCAAGAGTCCAATCTTTGTGTGTGTGTTGAGGTTTGAGTGAGAAGGTGCAGACACTGCTGGTGCTGGGTGGCCTGGTGAACAGGCTACTCAGGATATCTTTCTTCCTCCATCTCCTCTTTATTTCTCTCTCTGTCTCTCTCTCTCTCTCTCCGTGTGCCTGTTGTTGATCCGACGGTTGTTACTTCCTTCATGCAGGACGCTACTTTTTGACATGTCTCCACGAGACGACTCGCTACGCTCTGCATGTGGTATGTAAGTCTATGTGTGCATACGAGTGGGTGTGAACATGTGTGTTTTGGTTAAGGCTAGCAACGAGTGTTATCTGACCGGCAATATCACATAGTAGTAATCATTTATTACTCCCGATGTTAAAGTTGGCTCACACTCTACCATTTCCTGTCTCCTTACTCTATGACTTTATTCATTTATACTTTTCTGTTTGTCCTCCTTTTCTCTATCTTGCTATCTTGTGTTGTTTCCAGTCTTTCGCACCCAATTTGGACGCCGTAGCGGTGGAGGATCTTCAATGTTTATAAAAGAAATATCTGTGGAGCAGAGCGCTGCCCCTGGGGTGGTACAATACACGATGGTTATCTGGACCACACCAGGAGAGGCCTGTTTACGAAAGAACTACTGTACTTGATGGCGCTGCACTGTCTCACTTTCTCTGTTTGGACATGAATGGAAAGGAGAGGAATCGACCGATTGTAAACACAGGAGCTTCAATGCCCCCACCCCCCTCATGCTCTCCCTATTCACATCTCACTCTCTGTTTTATACTACTTTCCACTCGAACCGCTTGTTTGGTGGCTGTGATGAAGTTCAATGAAAGTGGTTGCTACAGTGTTTACACGTGAGATGGCGGATGCTGCAGATGATGTGGTATCATTTTACGTGATTTCTTTTCTTTGCTCACTCCATTAATAACCTTCACTCAGACATCAACAATCATGGTTACCTCTGTGTAATTGTGTTTCCATCCTCCTGTTTTTATGCATATTTTCAATTAATAAAAAAGGAGTGGAAAGTTGTCCAAATATTGGGAAATGTAGATGTATTGATAAAAACTAAATGAGACAAAGTGAAATGGAAAGGGACTTAGTGAATAAACTACGACTGACATCAACGATGGGACTTATCTAATCCTAGTATCAGAAGTGGATGTAAAGTTTTTTGGACAATTTTTCTGGAAGTTATTGTTAATAAGCAGAGAGATGACAGGAAATGAGTGGAGAAAGGATATGACATGCAACAAAGGTCCTGAACAGAAATGAAGGTTTGCAGCGAGTAAATGTCACTTTTACAGAAGCATATAAAGTGTCACTGTCAACATCAAGGACTGTTACAATAATACTCCCGATAATACTCGCCGTTTTCTTAAAGTAACTTCAAGGAGATTTTAACTGGTTATGAAAAAGTCACACTTTTTTTTGTTGGTAAGCACATTGTATGGTAAGTTTTACAGTGAGTAGTGAAATAGGGCAGGAAGACATTTTTCACTCGGGAATGTTATTTCGGACTTTATATTTTGTGGTTATGGCCGATAACTGGGACAAGATCAGCAAACAACAAGAGTGGACGACAGAACAACAAAAGAAAAGCTGATAGGGACAGTGATAGAGCAAGACAAGAGCCCACCTTGGTCGGTCATTCAACAGATTTGAAAGGATTCAAAACCAGTCCTGAATCAATCTTCCTCCTAGACTGGAATGTATTTTTGTCTATTTTATTCATGAAATAACATTGCGGGACGTGGTTTAACAGCAATATTTTGATTTACGTTGGTGGCCCAATCACAGTTTATTTTGTTTCACCATCTACAGTTATTAATCTTACACAGCCTTACAGAAGAAGTAAGAAAACAATGACACTTACATGACTTATCCACATCAATGCACGGCTACAGTGTCACTGCCCTCTATTCCCACCTCATAGCTAACTTCCCCGTGCCGCATCGTACGTGTGGTGGTCATGGCCTTACGAGACAGCTGGGTCACCTCTCACACGCACACTATTCCCCGCTTACTTGAACAGTATCTCCCACTTCTTCATCGTTCATTTCAAGCACAAACTCACTAAGTCACACACAAATCCCTTTCACTTGAAATACAGTCTCACCTTTGTGTTGCTGCAGCAAAGATCTGGCAGTTTTTGGGGTTCTCATTAAAGCTCATTATATTCATATTTAGCATTATTAGCCCGGTCAGCAGAGAGGGATTAGAGACAGGGAGAGGGTGCTGGAACGGTCAAGTCTGTTTTGCGACGCGGTCCAAGACAAGCTGGGAAGTTCCCCTGCTGATTTCTTACCTGCTACCAATTTGAAGCTGAACTTGAGTACACGCAAATGTCTAGACATCGACATTAAAAACACATATTCCACCTCTGTCCAAACATATGCACGCCAAACGCATGCTCCATCACACACGGAGAGAGCCAACGTGTTGGCGAGCGTTAATGTGGGCATTAACGGGCATCAAGTACAGCTCCAAACACCAGGCTCATATGCAAAGATGAATATTCAAACATGACCTCATTCACACGCACACAAAGTTCATCAGCAGCTGCAAGATATGACAGCATGAACTATTATCATCTGTTGGGCAGAGTGAACGGAAATCAAATTTCCTGTGTTGTACTTTTTCAGTGACTCACTCACACCACATCAACCAGCAGGCGATGTTAATATGCGTGGCGTGGTTGGTGGTCAGTCTGTCCAGCAGACATCAGCTGTTGATTTTCTCACTGAATGTTAGTATGGGCATTTGCGTGCGAGTTTGTGTTTCCCTCTGAAACCATCTGTATCTGCGTTCCTTGTTATCTTTGCCTGCATGGCTTTGTGTTTGCAAATGCAGAGTAGATACAAAGGAGGATTCAAAGTTATGGGGTTTGTACATGAGCTTGTATTAGTGTTTTAGGGTAATCTGGGGACACTATGTGGGAGCGCCGTCACTCTTGGACAATACAGTTGTTTCCATTTTGTGGGTGGATGCTGATGAAGGGGATTATGTGATGGAGACACTGAGGAATCAATTCAGCCTCTTATGGGTTTAGATGTTTTGTATTTATTACACTCTGGAGGAAATAAAGCAGAGCCAATCACCCCGTTGGAATATCTGAGTATGTGGCATCCTGTGTTTCTGCTCCCACAGAACAGGTGTCCGTCCCACAGGAAAGTGGGCTAAATCCTGTGCACCTGTGTCCTTATGAAGCAAAGGAATTTCTCCTCGGCATAATCCTCTTGACGATTTTCAGCCCCTTGCTAAATAACTCCTCCTTTTTTCCCCTCTTTCTCTCCCCCCCCCCCCCTTTCCTCCATCTCTCCTCCCACTTCACCAACACCCCCTCCTCCTTTTATTTCTCCCCCTCTTATCTTGTTCTTTCTCTTGTCTCTTATTTTCTTTTCCTCCATCTCTCCTTTTCTTCTCTGTATCCAGGGAATAGCCTCTGTTCTGCAGCGCAGGTCTGACAACGAGGAGTACGTGGAGGTCGGGCGCCTGGGACCCTCTGACTACTTTGGTGAGTGGCTCTGGGCCGATGAACAAGAAGTCAGTTTTATAGTATCTGAGTGCATTAGAATTACACATTGAGGACATTGAGGCTGAAGTCTAATTTGTTTCAAATGCTTCCTGCCACAACATTAATTGTCATCCGTGCACAGATCATACATATTAAGACATTGTTTTACAGCTCAAAACAATAGTTTGCCACGTCTCCTTCTTCCTCCAGGTGAAATCGCCCTGCTGTTGAACCGTCCCAGGGCAGCCACCGTAGTCGCTCGCGGTCCGCTCAAGTGTGTGAAGCTGGACCGGCCCCGCTTTGAGCGCGTGCTGGGGCCGTGCTCAGAGATCCTCAAGAGGAACATCCAGAGATACAACAGCTTCATCTCCCTTACTGTGTGACATGTCGGCCCCTCTGGGCCCCCCACCAGCAGGGGTGGGCAGCATCAGCATCAGAGTTTAGGTGCGTGGGTGGGAATAGGTGAGGATGCGGGGTGAAGGACATGGGTTTTACATCCACAACTACAGGGCGCTCATTTTCTGCCTTTTTTCCATTTCTTTCGCTATTCTTTTTTCTTCCGATCTTGTGCACTTTGACCTGTGCTGTCACGTAGCTTTATGTCAAAACCAACACGCAGGAGTGTAAAAATCAGAACGAGGACAGAGATAATATAACTCATTAAATACTGTAAATGAATCATATATATACAGGGCGGCAACTGTATGTGATGCATGCTTCTAGACTGACCAAGAACGGCATTTGCACTTTCATGAATCTATGGAAGGTACGGATGAATTCAGGAAATAAGAAGGATGTAAAGTCATGTTTACGTACAGCGGGAGGAAGTGAATACACGTTTATTTTTGGCGCCGGCTGTTGTTTGCCTTTTTTTTCACTTCTGGGTGTGCGTGGTGTCATTTCTAGGTCAAATCAGACCCGCACTACACAGACCCCTGTTCCCCTAAAACGCAGCTGTACAGGTTGAAAGAAAAGTAAATACTCCGCCGTTTCATTTTGAACGCTTCTTAAGTGTGCTTTTACTGCTATTATCAGTTGGGGGTTTGTTAAAGGCAGTGGGATGCTGAGTTAAGATTTTAATATTATGTCAGCCAAATTAACGAACAAATCTGTTTTTTCTCAAGAAACCGTCTCTGTCCCATTAGTTGCAGGATTCCAAAGGAGCAGTGGTGTTATCAGTCCAGTCCGCACACACACAAAGAGAGTCTGAAACACGCTGACATGAAACACTCAACCATACTGTATATGCTTACACTGTCTCAGGACAATTTCAATCTTCAACACAAACACACACGTCTTTTCTGGCGCTTTTGATTTTGTTCTCTGTCATATTGCTAGATGAAAGCTTTTGCACCACTTTAGAGTTTGTAACGTTGGGTCAATACAGATGTTTGATTTAGCTGTTTTTTTGAAATATGACTTATATGTTTATGAATATATATAAAAAACAGAAGTAAAAAAACTTGTGTTGAAGTACTTGTGTTGCTTTCCTTTGATCTACTGTATTTTGTCAAACTTGCACAACTGACCCAGCGACTGATGTTGTATAAAATGGGACCTGAAAAGAATCTCTCTCTCTCTCTCTCTCTCTCTCTCTCTCTCTCTCTCTCTCTCTCTCTCTCTCTCTCTCTCTGTGTATGTCTTTCTTTCAACTATCCAACTATCTTGAGCAAATAAAGATAAGCTTCTGAAATCCTCTTGATTTAAGTCATTATTTTCTCTTGATCAGCTCCTCCTGTGAATGTGACTCTTTCACATTTTTATCCCAACTTCTGGCATCCTCTCCTCCTCTCCTGACTGGACTTAGTTCTCTCTCTTTCCCTTTATCTCATCTCATGCCCACACCCGATATCCTCTACACATTATATCGCTATTAATCTCCCTTGTCTTTTCTCCAAAGCCCAAACTGTCCTCTTCAATCTCCCTTTTCACATTTTCATCCTACAGGTACCTCCTCTCCATCCTGGCCTGCCTCTTCTCTGTCTGGCTCCGTCCACTCCTCTCTGCTCTCCATCCTTCTTACATTAAGCCAAGTGTCAGTCATCCGTCAGTCTGAGCTGATAGAGTTCCTCCCAACCAGTTAACACCACAGTGGACTAAAGCCTCTACAGCTTTGACACATTCCTCTTCATCTTAATGCCCACTAAATCAACTAAGGAATGTGCCTCCAACTCGCCAACATTCAGTTTAGTCCCCTCCTCCCCTCATATACACACACACACATGCACTTCATCGCTTTGACAGTACACACACAAACACGCAAGTATTGCTCCTCCATCTTCAAGGATTTGGGGTGGAAAACGTGTCCACTCATGGCGGTTAACCATGACTATTTTATCAAAACATGATTTATCCACATGCATGTCATGCATGACTCCTCTTTCTCTCTCATGGACATGCTTACGCTGTCTGTCGTCACTTATTTTCAGACATCGATAACATTTTAACACTGCTGACTAACAGGAATTAACATTTCACTCCTCTGTCAATCTGACGACCTTTGAAGAGGATGCAGCTGATGTTTTCAATCATCCTAACTTGAGAAACAGAAGGTCATTCTAGATACCCAAAGGGAGGATGGATGATTATTAAGTCAAACTACTATTTCCAAACTTTCTGAACTTTCAGAATTGTCCCCCAAAAGGGGCTTTGAATGCAATCGTAACAGGTACTGAGTCAACAGAGCCATCTCAATGGCTACCAAGCTTCAAAAGCAGACCTTGAGCTGGGATTTTGTCAACCAACCACCATGTTCTTCTCTCCTAAAGAAAGCCTATTTGATATAACTGGTATCATCAGAATGAAAACTCAAACTGAGCTGACCTGTGTGTGTGTGTGTGTGTGTGTGTGTGTGTCCAGAGCACCTGATTAGACAGGGCCATTACTGTGCCATCCTGGGTGGGCCAGTTGAGGACAAAACCTGGCACTGTCGCATGAGCAGTAAGATGAAGCCTTGATACCATGGCACTGTGCCAGTGTTCAAAAAAGAGAGCACAAGTAAACACACACTCTCACACACTCTTTTACCAACTTTTAATTTAGGTCACTCAGTTCTGTGTTTGGGTCCTTTATGCATTCATGGCTTAATAATCCGTCATACGGCTCCTGCAGGTCCCACTGTGCCAAAAACATTTCGCCAGCTGAGCTGACATCAGTTCAGGTAATCGCACTTTCACTAAGAAAACAAAATGATCACCGGGCTATAGGAGCTCAGCCATCAACACTCAGAGGTCAACAACAGCCAAGTAAAAACACCTTTTTCAATGTAGTAACTGAGAAAATGTCTGAAAAGTTTAAGCTTCTCAGTTGTATTCAGTTTTACATGTAGCACTGCAAAAATGTTGCTTGGAGATCCAATGTTGTGGCTGATATATGACGTCCATACATTTTTGTTAAATGTCCAAAGTTGGTTTGCTTTTCATATATAATCGCGTAAAAAAATATATTTTTCAGTATAAGGAAATATTACAAGAACTGCCTCCTTATTTTCTCTAAAGACGAAAGTTCTTTGGGTGATGCATTTTCAGTTTTTAAATCTATTGTCTTTTTGACGTTTTGTTTTTTAAGTCTGATTATGAACAGGCTCGAGGCTGAATTAATAACAGTATTGTTGATCATATATAGTATAAAGTGGTAAAGACATCTTGAGAGCCTCAAGGTTTTCGCTCTGTACCTCTCTTCACTCTAATTCAGTGCAAAACAGAAGCAGAGAGGAGGGAAGCAACATAGCAGGGAGGATGAATAACCTCAACTGCACCACCGTCTCCTCGAACCCCTCCATCCTTTTTTTCCCAGCTGCTGCACCTTGGCTCTCTATCAACTTCCAGCTACTCCCACAGCGGAGTCTATTTGGTGCGAGACTCCTGTGCATTTGTTGTCCAAACAAACAAGACGGCCAGACTCGGTGAGTTGGTGGGGAGGAATAGAAGGAGACAGAAAGCATGCAGAGGATAAAGATGATGATCATGCAGGAGGAGGAAGAGGAATGCTGTGCCAAATTCATTGACCTCTAACATGCTCTCCTTTGGGTTTTAAGTGCACCCCTGAGTGGTGTGAAGTCCACTGAGAACCAGTCAAATATTTTAAAGAATTTATTTCCAGCATGGGAACGTTTTGCCTCCTCATTTACAGGATGGCTTCCTTTGTGGATCCCTCCGAAGGTTTATATAAAGATTGCCAAACATTTACAAGATAAGATGGCTGGGAGTGATTTGGTATGTTTGTGTGTGTGTCTGTGTGTGTGTGCATGTGTATTTGTTGCATCCTATAACAAGACACAGTCACCCATGATCTCATGAGAGGATGTTTTATTTGGTGCTGCATATTTAGATCTGGCACAGTGAGTGTAGCCCCCGGGCGTGCAACCCTCACCCCCTCTCTTTCTCTTTCTCCCTGATTCTCTCTCTTTTGTCCTCTCCTCCTGCTCTCTGTGTAGCTGCCATCTCTGCTGCTTTCTATCCCTTGTCTGGGGAGATCCTGGCTAATTAAAATGCCTGCCAACACAAGGCTACAACCTCCATTGATTCTCCCTGCCTTCTCCCTCCTCCATGATCCCCACACCCTGGTGGAAAAAAAAATCAACCCCCAACCGCCTGCTAATGACCAAAGCCTTTGATACGCAGCTCTTTTCTCGTCTTTTCTTGATATATTGGGTGTGGCAACCTGACTGTTCCAGAGTTCAGCCTGGCTGGGTCGAAGCTCTCGGTCCAGGGGCATCTCATCTCTGCCTGGTCCCCAATTCTGCTGCTCTGATTCTCAGCTCTAATCGTGACCTTCTCGGGTCAAAGGTTACCATCTAGGCCTGGCCACAGGTGATTGAGCAATAGTGAGGCTGATGGGATTGAAAGGTTAGGGAGGCGAGGGGGTGTCGGGCCGAGGTCAGGGGGAGAAAGAGAGTCAAAAATTGGGTCAGGAGATCATCACAAGGTCCGGCTCATTTAAACAGCAGCCCATTTGGTCAATTATGGTTTTACTAGAGCAAAACAAGAAAAAGACCAAGAAAAAAATAACATTCTTGGACGGTTCGAAAAAAGTATCAAAATCCCTGACGAAAAACCAGAGCTACAGTTTGGTTTATTCCAGAAATTCTTCTTCAAAACCTGGCTTCTACATCACCCACAATGCAACTTTACCGCCAACAGTTTGCTGAGAGATTGGGTTTTGTGTTAGTCTCAGTTAGAGATGAGGAGCGGGCTGCAGATGTCTGGTAAACTCACTTGATTTTGTACTGCTCTCTTTGGAGCCATCCTTGGGCAAGACACTCAACCCCAAACCATAGACTGTGCCTGCGGTGTATGAATGGGTATGAATGATTAAATAGTCCCGATGGGCAGGTGGCACCTTGCATGGTAGTGTAAAATCCAAGAGTGACTTAATTCTCTGCTCAGTTAGACATTACACCACTATGTCTTTACATAGCAAATATTTGTTTGATGCTAATGCTCTGAATATAAAATGTAGCACCTTTAACAAGGCAATCATCTTTCTAGTAAATGAGCCAATTCTAAGTAGTTGAAATGATTGTCCCACTTCCTGCTGCTGTCTTTAAAGGCAGTTTGGACACGTCCGACTTCCTCAGAGAAAAGTAAGAAGAAAGAGAGAAAGCAACAACGAGGGGAAGAGATACCATCTATTTGTTTTTCTGCTTTTATTTCCCAAGCTTGTTATCGTTCCTCATTTCCTGCTGGACGACAAGTAAATAATTCACATATATACACATGTACCGACACTGAGCCCGGGCCTCCCTGAGTCGCCTAGATTTTGGCCTCGGTTTCAAAGCAATTCCAGCTAACGGAGCCTCGGTGACTCGCCTCCAAACTATGTGTAGAAAAAACAAACAATAAACCGAAATGTTCTCCTAATATTCTGCATGCTCGAGGGGAAAAGAATGGGTCAGTAGGACTTTTCTGAGTGAGATATTCCATCTTGCACATGACTCTGCAATCTCCTGCCCACATTGATTCCTACCCGGCACAATCCATCTCTTCTCTTCGACTCTGACTTCACTCCCTGGGGAGGCAGCTCGGCAATTGTCTCAATTGTTCCTTTTTTTTTCAGTGCCTCCTACTCTCTAAGGAATCGTTAGGGTTTTGAGTGCAGATCATAAAAGTAGTTTTCACTCTGTTCTAATCACATTAGGAAGATGAAGGAATGTAATGAGTGAAAATTCCCTGTTGGGGAAATGGTCTCAAATAATGTTAATCGATATTTGGCCTTTGAGACATTTCAGATTCATTATTTGCTCCCGATTTTTAAAGCATCTCATGTTTAAGAATCAATTGTCAGCTTTTGAGATGTGATGCTCCACTTTGTGTATTGACATACTTTAATATCTGGATAACATTTGGCATCTTTCCCAAGAATTACCAAGTTGTTGGACTCTATTTGATGAGAGTGCATCACTAAATAACTAACCTCACGTCCCAGAGGATTCACCTCATCCCCCAAAACACAGCCACCCTCTGCAGGTGTGCAAAGTCACAAGGCAAAGGCTGTCAAGTGTCCTCTGATTTTCAGGCCACCCTCGACAACCACAACCCTCCAGCCCCTCCTGAAGGACCCCCAAATCCATTCAATATCCCAGCTGCACCCTGAGCAATGCCCTTGGGCTGAGGCAGCGACTGGGGAGCAGAGCCACAGGGGTGACCCGGCTCTCCCTAAACCTTGCAGGAATGTGTGGATTTGAGTGAGTGC